TACACACACACACACACACACACACACACACACACACACACACACACACACACACACACACACACACACATACACAAATGAAGTCAGAATTATTAGCCTCCCTACCTGTTTATTTTTTACCCCAATTTCTGTTTAATGGAGAGCAGATTTTAATAACTCATTTCTAATAACAAATTTATTTTATCTTTGCCATGATGACAGTAAATAATATTTGACTAAATATTTTTCAAGACACTTCAATACAGCTTAAAGGCTTAACTAGGTTAATTAGATTAACTAGGCAGGTTAGGGTAATTAGGCAAGTTATTGAATAATGATCGTTTGTTCTGTAGACTATCAAAAAACTGTAGCTTAAAGGGGCTAATAATTTGACCTTTAAATGGTTTTTAAAATTTTTTAAACTGCTTTTATTCTATCCGAAATAAAACAAATAAGACTTTCTCCAGAAGAAAAAAATATTATCAGATACTGTAAAAAATTCCTTGCTCTGTTAAACATAATTTGGGATATATATATATATATATATATATATATATATATATATATATATATATATATATATATTAAAGGGGGGCTAATAATACTGACTTTAACTGTACGGTAGTTGTAATTTAAAAATGATAGCATTATGTCCAACCTCCTAAATCAACATCAACAACGATATTTAGAAGATAGTGACGCACTTGTGTTATTTGTAGTTGAGTGATGATGTAACTGCACAAAAGGGATGTCACTTTTACGGCTGTTTTACATGGGGTTTTTGTGAGGGTAAAGATATTATTTGTTATTATTCTAGTCCCAAGAGTAAAAATTAAGTATAAAAATAAATGTTTTTAATATTATATGCAAAATTCTTTATCCACAAACAAAAATTTCTTAAACCCTCTCCCTCATGTGCCCATTTTTTAAACTAAAATTGATTCCTTGCTTAAAGCTATACGTCTATCTAGCAACAAAAAATTCTGCAAGTTAATAGAAACTTATGAAAATATCATGCTTCCAGTATGTTAGTAATTAATGATTTCTGTATTTTTTTTATTTAATTTAATTTTGTACTTCCCCTTTCTTTATTTTGTTCTTTTTTCTTTCTATTACTTCTTTTTTTTGTTACTTATTGTTTTTATCATTTTGTAATTGTATATTCTTGTATTCCAGTCTTCTAAAGATTACTTCCTGATTTATATTGTACATTTCTTCTTTTCTAAATAATAGTTTATTATAAAAAAGTGTGTTTTTATGAGGGTAACAGCAGGTAAAATCATTTACATTTTATTAAAAAAAGGCACTTGTGCCAAAAACATTGCCTAAATGTTTATTTCTGAGTTCGAACAACATGTTATTATAATTGTTGTATCATTCCGCCTTCAACTTGCAAATTAAAAGTTCAGCTAAAAAAGTAAAAAGGAAAGGAATGCGAAGATTCAAATAACATTTAATCGACTCTAATTTAAAACAACATTGATAAAACAATAATGTAATGTTTTGAAATCACACATTTATTATAGCCTAGTTACAGCACTTTTATGTTGGTTTATTTCTCAAGTAAAAACGGGATTCATTTTATGCAATGACTCTAATGTATTATCATTAATTAACTTTATTCTTATCACAGCTTAAGTCAACACATGCAGACTTGCTTTCTTGTGTCATGAATTCATGTAGCGTACCAGTGCTTTCTAATGTTTTCCTGATGATTCAATATGTTCCCCGATGACCCAGTGATTCATATTCTTCATACGGAGAGCCAGCGATTGCTCCTTTTCCCCATACAGTTTCCTGTGGAGCAGAGAAAAGCAGTTTTAATTAGGAAAGTGTGACAGATTATATGTTTAAAGCGTATTTCATAACAGCCGTGGATATTTTTAGTTGTTTCAGTGCTATCTGGAACGGGTGTTTTGCTGAGTGACAAGTATTAAATCAGCAGAGTTGTGTGAAATGGTTCGTTTCTAGTGGCGTTAAATAGAAAAAGGTTTAAAAAAGAAGTCTGAATGTTTTGCAGTCGTATGTCGCCATCTGGAGGAGAGAGTGTGAAATGGCACAAAAAAATTCTGTGATGAAAAATGTTCAGATGAAAACGAAACGAAATAAAATGTCAGCATTTAAACACAACAATCTTTGGTTTTCATTCATTTTCAGTAATTCTAGTTTTGGTTGAGTAAATTAAATATGTTGTTGGTTATCATGCGTCTCATGTTTTTATGGTAATAAATTCATTCATTCGTTTTCCTTCGGCTTAGTTACTTTATTCATCAGGGGTTACCACAGGAGAATGAACAGTCAACTTATCCAGCAAATGTTACACAGCGAATGACCTTCCAGCTGCAACCCAGTACTGGGAAACATCCATGCACATTCATCCACACACATACACTACAGCCAATTTAGTTTATTCAATTCACCTTTAGCACATGTCTCTGGACTTGTAAGGGTAACCAGAGTAGCTAGGGGAAACTCACGCCACCATAGGGAGAACATGCAAACTCCACACAGAAATGTCAACTGACACAGTTGAGATTATAACCAGTGACCTTGCTTTGAGGCAATAGTGCTAACCACTGAGCCACCATGTCGCAATGGTAATAAATTAAATAACTTATTTATTGTGATTGTTATGTTTCAATTTGGCAAACAATATTAAATAAAAGCCCCTTCTGTTCCTAACTAATCAGATTATATATTCATTGTTGTGCTTTTAGTGTAATATTATTGAAAGTTTTAATGATAGTCATTTTGTCATTCTTCTTTGTTTTAATTTATATCTGTTTTTTTTCTTTTAGCTGTAGTTTTTTATTTTATTTTTGTTATTTTACTTTAAAATTTAATTAGAAAAAATTACAACTAACTGATGGAACTGTTGTGTTAGTGTGGTGACTTTTAATAGAATTTTTATTGAAGTTATTTTAGTTTTAAGTTAACTAAACTAATATAGAGAAATAATAAAGAACTATTTTGTAGCTGATATAAAATATTATCTAATTTTGTTGTTGCTTTTTCCCTCTCTATATGTTTTTATTAGTTTATATTTATATATTATGAGTATTATATACTTGAAGTCAGAATATTTAGCCCCCCTGTTTATTTCCCCCCCAATTTCTGTTTAATGAAGAGAAGACTTTTTCAACACATTTCTAAACATAATACTTTAATTAACTAATTTCTAATAACTTATAACTTAATAATTTATTTTATCTTTGCCATGATGACAGTAAATAATATTTGACTAGATATTTTTCAAGACACTTTTATACAGCTTAAAGCAACATTAAAAGGCTTAACTAGGTTAATTAGATAAATTAGGAAGGTTAGGGTAATTAGGCAAGTTATTGTATAATGATGGTTTGATCTGTAGACTATCAGAAAAAATATAAAGCTTAACGGGGCTAATATTTTTGTCCTTAAAATGATTTTAAAAAAATTCAAAACTGTTTTTATTCTATCCGAAATAAAACAAATAAGCCTTTTTCCAGAAGAAAAAATGTTATCAGACATACTGTGAAAATTCCCTTGCTCTGTTAAACTATTATTAGCTAAAAATTCTGACTTCAACTGTATGTACTGTAATTAAAATTTATTTAATTTGTTTTTTAATAGTTGTCTAAGTTAAATTTGTTTTAACTTTATAGACTTTTTGAAAACGTAACACAACGTTATCTCAAGTGTTATTACCCGATACAAACAAGCACCAAAACAATAGTAAACAATATAGCAATTATAGTAACAGCAACAAACAAAAAACAAACAAACAAAAAAAGAAAAAACTCACCAGACTAATGGAATCCGTTACAAAAGAAAATGACATGTGAAAAGAAGAAAAATATATTAAAAAATAATAGTTACAGCTACATTATAATATATATCCAAGGAAAGGACTCCATATTTTGCCATACATCTTCTGTTTGCCAAATCTAGAGAAATGTAAGCTTCCAAGCTTTAGGGCTACTTGAAGGTGTCATGGATTTCCACTCCATTAGAATCACTCTCTTGGACAGCACCATGCCAAACATAAGGGAGAGTTGTTGATGTTAAGTTAAAGCCTGGTCTGAACATCCAAACAATGCTAATTCCACATCAATTTTAATGTCTAATTCAAAAGCCTGGGTATAAAGTCCGAAGATATTTCAAGCTTACTCTTAACATTTGCTGAATATTCTTGAGATTTGTACACTGATGACATTGCTTGTTTTTCTGCAATGCACATGTTGACTATCTTCCACAACAAAGCGAAAACAATGTGACAGGCCGATAGAAACCCTTTTCCCTACAAGTAAGAGACAATGTGCTGAATTTTTAACCTCAGCACATAAACTCTTACTGTTTAGGGCTTAGGGCATCATTCAGAGATGAACACACATACACACACAACATCTCTAAGAATAATTAATTACAAAACAGACAATGTCGGCTATTTAAGCAGCAAAAGAAGCAAAAACATTTTAGAAATGATAAACACCACTGACTATCATGCATTAAAAGCAATGACTAGAACACATTATCTCTAAATTATTATCATTTTCAGGAGACCTGGAATTAGGCATGGGCTGGTATAAGATTCTGATGGTATGATAATCTTGGATAAAAATATCACGATTTCACAGTATTGTGATTACTGTTCTAAAATATTTTCTTTTTAAATGTCTGGGTAAAAAAACTACAACTTTCCCTCCTATTGAACACAATACATTTTATTTTAAGAAACATTTATAATAATTTGTAACAGTAGCTAAATAAATAAATAAATAATAAATTAAATAAATAGATAGACAGATAAAAAAATAAAGAAAGAAAAGAGTAAAAAAGAGAAATAATAAAAAAGAAATACTGAAAGTTTAAAATAAAGAAAAAAAGACAAGAATAAAGAAAGAAATTAAGAAAGAATGAGTAAAAAAGAGAAATAATAAAAAAAGAAAGACTGAAAGTTTAAAATAAAAAAAGACAAGAATAAAGAAAAAAAATTAAGAAAGAATGAGAAAAAAAAAACATTTTAAGAAAAAAGAAAGAAAAAGTAATAAAAAGGAAACGTAAATAAAAAGTGAAGAAAAAACTAAGGTGAAAAAAAAAGAAAATGAAGAAAGAAAGAAAGCAAGCAGGAAAAAGAAAAGTAAAGACTTTTTTAAAGAAAAAAGTTAATTGAAAGAAAGAAGGAAAGAAAGAATGATGTAAATAAATGAATGAATGAATAAATAAAGAAAAATAAAATAAAATAAATAAATAAATAAAAAAGGGTAAAGAAAGAGAATAAGTAAATTCGAAGAAAGAAAGAATAAAAAAGTTCTAAATAAAGGAATAGTAAAAAGAAAAGTGAAAAAAAGAAAGAAATTAGGAAAGTATAAAGAAAGAAAAAAGAAAGGAAATGGTGAAAGAAAGAAAAAGCAATAAAGAAAGAAAATGTAAAGAAAGACAAGTGAAGAAAAGTATTAAAATGAATCAAGAAAGAAAAAAGAAAGAAAAAGTAAATGAAAGAAAATGTAAAGAAAGTAAAGGAAAAAGATAGAAAGAAAAGTGAAGAAAAGAAAGGAAAATAAAGAAATAAAGAATGAAAGAAAAAAAGGAAAAAATAAAGGAAAAGTAACAAAGAAAATGTAAGAAAAAGTTTAAGAAAAAATAGAGAAAAGTGAAGAAAAGAAAGAAGTGAAAACATTAATAAAGAAAATGTAAAGAAAGAAAAGTGAAAGAAAGAAAATAGAAAGAAAAGAAAGTGAAAGAAAGAAAAAAAGAAAGCAAAGAAAAGAAAGAAATTAAGAAAATATAAAGAAAAAAGAAAGAAAATAGTGAAAGAAAGAGCAATAAAGAAAGAAAATGTAAAAAAAACTAAAGTGAAGAAAAAAGAAAGAAAAGTGAAGAAAGAAAGAAAGAAAGAAAGAAAGAAAGAAAGAAAGAAAGAAAGAAAGAAAGAAAGAAAGAAAGAAAGAAAGAAAGAAAGAAAGAAAGAAGGGACATTGGCTCTTGGTACACTGTGTCCACATAAACAGGAAACCCGGGAAGCAGCAAGACTGTGTTTTTGGATCAGACTTGAAATAAATAATAAGTAACTCAAGCCACACTCTGCTGGACCGATTCCAACATTCCCGGGTTATAAGACACAGCCTGATGGCGACCCTTCAAAACAGAAAAAAACATCAAGAAAAACACATAACAAACCCACAACAATCCCTCAGCTCTGAATATCAGACTTTTTTCACTGGAAAATGTTTCGCTTTAAGTCTCTCTCACTGCCTGTTTGTAAATACGCACCATGTGCTTCATCGCAGTGATGTCATTGTGGTGTTTAGGTTAAATGATTTACTCCGCCCCCGCGTCCCTTCTCTCAGTGCTGAGATCTGATTGGTCAGTCCGGCCACACCAGCAAAACAGAGTATTCCAATTGACCTCTTAACCAAAACAAATTTCCTGGAATCAACCTTCATCTGCTCTTCTGGGAAACCTCATAAGGTTATTTTGTTCTTGCCCAACGTTAAGTATGAACTATCAATCAGATTCATCACTTTATATTCTACACCATGAATAAATAAATAGATAAACATCCATATTTATTTGTGGGATTGTGAGATTTTTAAGCATCACAATTAGTTGTAATACAGCTTTAAAAATGTAATTCTATAGAATGCGCCCTGTTTATTTGACTTTTTTCTGAGCCAAAATAATATTTTATTTACACAATTTACAGAAGACACCCAAGAAAATGTAATGGGCTCTATGCACAGCTAGAGTTTTAAAGCCAACGATAAACTTCCAGTGAAAGCTTAATGCGAGTATTTCCAATTTCACAAGGTTGTTTTTACAGCATAGATGTTGTAATGTAATTACTAAACATTCATTTAAATAGACTTAACAGTTCATTTAGTTGTTCAAGCGTAAATCGAAATGAAAGACCATTGTAACCGCTAGTGCCGTCAGTAGCAACAGGCTATCGCAGAAATACCATTGAAAATACTGGGGTAAAATCAAATTTTAAAGACATGGCAGGAGGAAATGGACTTTATTGCAGTGATTCTTGTCTGATCTGAGATCCACTTCATATCATATATCAGGCAGTGAAGATCGCTGATTTTTAAAGAAATCTGATCCTAAACGTGACAATGTTGTAATGGAAAGACAGCTTACCGGAAGCCCTGCCTGGCTGAAGATTAAAAGTCTGTGTGCATATAGCCCATTCAGTATATTTATATAGCATTCTTGTCAGTCATATTTCCATGCAGAAATCGTTAGATGACATATTAAAATACTTTCATAAAGAATGTCAGAATGCACATTTTAAATCTTTATAAAATTTAGGTTTTACGCATTTGTCAATATAGTTTTAATAAGTTGAAATATAATAAAGGTTTTATTATAGTTTTTTATTATAAAATATATATTTTTATTATTTAAATTAATAAACAAGTCACATTATTTTACCCATATTTGTAAATTATTTAACCTAATTAAATATAATATATATAATAATGTAATTTATTTGATGCAAATACCAAAATGGGACTCCCACCTTTGACCCACTATACAAAGCTTTAAAAATGCTATTTAAATTTTCCATAATTATGCGCTTCAGTAAATTATAAATAATGTTTTATTCTGTAAATTACTGGTGACATTTATTTAAAAAAAACAACAACAACTTAGTTGTGAAGGAAGAAATGTTATTAGGACTTTATAGAATAAAACAAATGTTAACATTTTACTCAAACCCATACCTAATTCATCTAAATCATATATACAGTCATAATTACCCCCCCCCCCCCTTCTTTCTTTTTAAAATATTTCCCAAATGATGTTTAACAGAGCAAGGAAATCTTCACAGTATATCTGATAATATTTTTTCTTCTGGAGAAAGTCTTATTGGTTGTAATTCAGCTAGAATACAAGCAGTTTTACATTTTTAAAAGCATATTTATGGTGCAAAATTATTAGCCCCTTTAAGCAATTTTTTTCCGATATTCTACAGATTCAACAATCATTATATAATAACTTGCCAAATTACCCTAACCTGCCTAGTTAACCAAGTTAAGCCTTTAAACGTCACTTTAAGCTTTATAGATGTGTCTTGTAAGACATCTAGTAAAATATTATTTAATGTCATCATGGTAAAGATAAAATAAATCAGTTATTAGAGATAAGTTATTAAAACTATTTTGTTTAGAAATCTGTTGAAAACAATCTTCTTTCCATTAAACAGAAATTGGAGAAAAAATAAACGGGGCTCATAATTCAGGGTGGCTTATAATTCTAACTTCAACTGTACATACATGCATACAATCATACATAAATATCTGGCATGCCACTGTGATTCTGGCCTGCCGTTTTCATATATTTACGATAAATCACCAACAAACGCTGCAAAAAATAATTAATTAATTTATACTTAATGTAAACAAATGGGCATTATTTGTCAAGTCTTACCACCATTATACAACATCTCTAAAGTGAGGCCATGTGTGACTGACTGACACACACACACACACACACACACACGAATCCAACATGTGACCCACTAGACACCAAAAATAATCACTTCACCAAACGCATCACCCCGCAGAATCGTCCATAAGGATATATATTTCCTTTAAGAGACAGAAAAATTAAAGTAGAAGCCAATAGTCCATGTGTATAATAGTCCATAATAGCAAGTCTTTAGAATGAGGCAATAGAACGCGAAATAATTTCACAGCGCGGGATTTATAAAAACATTCTGAAGCTCCGCCCACATTCTAAAAACACGCCTTCATTCCTTAAAGAACACGTTCGTTTCAACACAGGATGCTGGAAACGTCCAACTTTCTACTAAAGCCCACCAAGAGTCAAAATACAGCCTGATGCTCCACTCGCACCCTTGGTTTTTTCTTACACAACGCTCTCCCTCTCACCCCTGCCCGCCGCCGTTGTGTAAGAGGATTCCTGAGGCCGGGAGTCACGGAGGAGCTGTTGTAAAACTTACTGGCAAGAAGGAGTTTTTTCTGTGTTTCTCTTCTCTTGTCTGCATTTATCAAAACCATGTGTCTGAGCGGAGAAAGAGACACGTGGCACTGAGAGGAAAAGCCGAGAAAAACAACAGGGCGAGTGATGTGGGAAGAACTGACAGAGAGATGATGGGGAAAAACAAATTAAGGAGGGAAAGGAAAAAGCTGTGATGGGATTGGTAGCTAATTGTGTTCTTTAATGAAATGATTAGTAAAATTAAGTCTATAATGTTCATAATAGTTATAAAGTTGTCTTTTAAAAGACAGGAACAAATCAATTGACTGGGAAAACAAATGTGGGAGGGAAAATAGACAAAAACACTGTGAATTTGCCTGCCAAGATGCTACGGAATCCTAAAAGGGTCATGGTTGTTGGCTTAAAAAGAAATTAGGATGAAGACGGTGACTCTATTATTATACTCACAAATAATTAGTGTAGCCTAAAATGTGCCCTACTCAGAAAATGATGTAAATTCTAACTACTTATTTAGGGAAACGTAACTACATGAAAATAATGTGAAATAATTATGAACTGTTGTGAGACTGTTTGTGGGTCAAAAGGTGTGCATTTTATTTTTATGTTCTCCCTGAAAAATATTTTGTACTTGCAACATCTGCATTCTCCTGTGAAGGTATAAAAAAATTAGGCAAAAACATTCATCTTATATCCAAATCAAGTTTTGATATCTATTTCAATACTTTTGTGTTATATCATACAACTTTTAATGAACTCATACATGTTTGACTTTTCCATATAATTATGAGTTTAGATGTAAAGTGGCAATAGTGGGAAAGTCAGAATTGTGAAAAAAAATTCTAGCTAGCAAGTTTAATTTCCCAGAACATTGTCGGAATGTTGGTTTTCAGAGCAGAGATGCCCAAAGGGCCTGTGGGCCAAAGTTGGCCCATAACCTTTGATTTGGCCCGCCATCCCATCTGAAAGGGAGAATGAGGGGGATGGTTTAGAGATTGTCAATTCAAATTTGATATAACCAATTGTTTGTTTTAAGCTTTGTTTGTTTGTGGAAAACTAACTGAAATTAAATTCTTTAATAATTAAATGGTGTAAATTAATCAGATTTTGTTTAAATCTATATACTGTCACCTGAAAACGCAAAGACTTTTGTGAGCGAATTAAGTCAAAGGCAGACTCCATTGTGATATAAATGTGATTAGAGAGGGAGAATGATAGGGAGGTGGTTGGAGTAAATATCTTTGACAATCAGGTCTGGTTTTTGGCCCTTCATAAGAAAAAGTTTGGGCACCCCTGTTCTTGACAGTTTTCTGCAGGTTAGCCAGCAAAGTTTTACAAGCAAAACAAAACAACTTTCTGGAAAGGAACACTGAGAGAACATTCCCAGAACATTCCAATTAGGTTCTCAAAAATAACCAAACAGAAACCATATAGGAATGTGCTGTTTTGTGGGAATGACATTTTTTATTTTTTATTTCATGATTGGAAGAAGCTTCCACAGTCATTCAATCGTTCATTGTCCTTCTGTTTAGTCCCCTTTATTTATCAGTGGTCGCCACAGTGGAATAAACCACCAGCTTCCACCATATACTACCGTCATGCATGGCCAGTATTTATGATAAATGTATTTCAAATACATATTTCAAATAAAAAAATAGTATTTTGTAATTTGTGTTTAACAGAGCTGATGAAAATGGGTTTATATTTATCAAAATACTTTAGTATATTGTATTTTTGAAATACTGTAAAATACTTTGTAAAAATCTACATCAATCTACAGTACATCATGTAAATGCACTCTTTGATTGATGCTTTGGATGTTATTGACTCTTCCATTTAAAGAAGAATTGAAAAAACCTTAGGAGTAAAAGTATACTGTACAAATAATAGTAGTTTTGGATGGATTGCTGATGCTAAATGTTTGTTAAAACAAACAACATAAAAATAAGCCCTACAGTGGCGATTCCTACAATACTTCATTGGCTGTTTCAAATGCCAGTAGTTGATCTGTAGGTCTTCATAGTTAATTAAGATGAAAAATGTAAACCTTTAGATGTCACAACGTATGAAACACATATTTCATTATCAAAAGAGCTTGAATAATCATTGTACAGGAATGATGGCAATTTTACTGGCTATTTAACATTGTTTACTTCACTAAATCAGTTTATTGGGGAAAGGATTGATGGAATAAGCCTAATTGATGGAAGATTTGCAAAGAAATGTCCTCCTCCTTTGTAAAAGTATTTTGTAGTATTTCAAAAATACAAAAAACACCTAAAATTAAGGTATTTAGTATTTTGTTTGAATATACATTTCAATGAATTTTTGTCCAACCCTGACTACTGTTTTCCTAGTTTATTTTAGCACACCAACAGATCATGAAAAACCACTGCATTGGGGCATTTTCACAATGGATTTACAGAGACTTAATCCTTACAGAGCTGTTTTATTCGCGTTTGCAAGAATAAGAGACGGATGGAACAAGGGGAGAGAGCAAAAAGTAAAGCAACAGTGAGAGATTGGGTCAATGGGAAGGTGTCGACGCTCTGACTGCACTGGAAAGAGTGAGTGAGAAGAGAGGAGTGCTTTCCACAAACATCTGGAAATCATCACGAATACAATCCTACGCGCCAAACTCCCTATAAGCTACAGGAGAACACAGAGTTCTCAATCTGCCTGAGAGAGCGCGCAAACACACGGAAACTGACAGAAATCAAAATGATAAACAGCTGCAGGGGGAAAGACACTCGCTAACGCCCCCGCTGGTAACTGGAGGTACTGCATATGTTGGCATTAAAGGGACAGTTCACCCCAAAATAAAAAATGTGGATGTAGTTTATATAAGCCTCAGGCCATCAAGGACTTTTGTATATTGTTTTCTTTAGAACACTACAATTTAAAAGCTAAAACTGTGGTTCTTGGTGACTGAGAAATTGCAAGTTGACAGCAACCAGGAGCCTGTACTATAAAGCTGGCTAGCCTGTTAAGTTTTAGTTTAGCATGCAACAATCTTGTTTTTAAGAACCATAAAGTAGCACAACTTTAATCATTCTTTGTTGCCATGGTATTATAGAGCAGCTGAGCTACCTTCACTGTACCTAAAACCCAGAATTGGTGCAAACTAAAAAAAAAAGTAAATACGTTAATCCATGTGGCTCCTGATACATTGAACAGTTATGAAGTGAAAATCATTCGGGGCAAAAACAACCCCTAAATTTACACCATTATTCATTTCAATCTTTTATTATAAGTATATAATATATAATAAATTATTAAATTATAAACATACACTCACCAGCCACTTTATTAGGTACACCTGTCAAACCGCTAATTAACGCAAATTTTCTTATCAGCCAATCACATGGCAACAACTTAAAATATTTAGGCATGTAGACATAGTCAAGATAATCTGCTGCAGTGCAAAACAAACATCAGAATGTGGAAGAAACAAGATTTAAGTCACTTTGAACATGGCATAGTTGTTGGTGCCAGACGGGCTGGTCTAAGTAGTTCAGAAACTGCTGATCAACTGGGAATTTCACGCACAACCATCTCTAGGGTTTACAGAGAATGGTACGAAAAAGAGAAAATATCCAGTGAGCGGCAGTTCTGTGGACGCAAATGCCTTGTTGATACCAGAGGTCAAAGGAGAATGGCCAGACTGGTTCAAGTGATAGAAAGGCAACAATAACTAAAAATAAACACTCGTTACAACCGAGGTATGCAGAAGAGCATCTCTGAATGCACAACATGTCTAACCTACAGCAGCAGAAGACCACACCGGGGGCCACTCCTGTCAGCTAAGAATAGGAAACAGACTACAATTCACACAGGCTCACCGAAATTGGACAATAGAAAATTGAAAAAATGCCTGATCTGATGAGTTTCGATTTCTGCTGCGACATTCGGATGGTAGGGTCAGATTTTTGCACCAACAACATGAAAGCATGGGTCATCTCAGACTGAACATGACAATGAGTTCACTTTACTTAAATGGCCTCCACAATCACCAGATCTTAATCCAATAGAGCACCTTTGGGATGTGGTGGAACAGGAGATTCGCATCATGGATGTGCAGCCGACAAATCTGCAGCACCTGCGTGCTGCTATCATGTCAATATGGACCAAAATCTTTGAGTAATGTTTCCAGTACTTGTTAAATCCATGCCACGAAGAATTAAGGCAGTTCAGAAGGCAAAGGGGGCTCCAACCCGGTACTAAAGTGTACCTAATAAAGTGCAAACTGGCCAGTGAGTGCATGTCGTGTTTTGCTATGAAATTTTTAATGATTTTTATAAGGTACATGTTTTATGTTGTAATGATTTGTGATGAACGTGTGTAACTGTACTCTCTTGTGCTCTGCCTTGTGTAGTTAAGGACTAGAGAACACCATTTTGAGTCTGCACAGAGAATGTTATTATGACAGATCGGCAGCTTCAGCTCATTACATTAAATGTACACTCCATAGTTCAAGGTAAAGGTGGAAAAGACCGCTCAAACAATAGTGCAACAGGTATGGCTGCTTGGAATATACCACCTTGACGTTAACCCAAGGGGGGGAGAAGAGGTGAAACCACTGTCACTTTACAGACTCTTTTTACATTTATATTGTGAAAACAAAACAATTTTATATAAACAGTAAGTAAACAGTAAGCTCTGTAAATAATCCTGTTATACATGCAATGAACTGAAAAAAACTTACTTGATTATATATAAAATAAAAAACCTTGTTAAAATCTATAAAATTTGTCCCCACTAATACAAAGTTAATTTCAACTATAGTCTCAAATATATACATAAAGTCTGTGTGAAATCAAAACTTATTATGTTTATTTTGCTAGCACACATGGTTATCCTTAGTTAAACAATTAATATGTGCAAGTTAATCCACTGAAAAAAAAAGTTTGTTTTGGTTATCTGATCATTTGCTTTCACGTTTGTAGTGGCTGTCCTTCTGTTGACATCAATTTGACTGCTTCAGCACAATATTCTTAACCACACCCCTCTTACTGTTAGTTTGCTATAAAAAACAATGAGCAAAATCAAAGCCGCGCCCCCTACTTAATATTCAGTATTCGGAAGAACATAAACATACTGAAAAGTCTCAGCAATTTCCTATTTGCACAGACTTTAAGAGCACAGTCAATCAAATGAGCTGAAAAACAAACAAAACAGAACTGCACATTTGTTGACAGTCTTTATTAAAGTAAACATTTCCCTGAGAATAGCATATAAATTCCTTACAGGCCTCTGAGCTACTTCATAATAGCTATAACTCACTTATTATAGGCAATGTTTCACTGAAATCTCTTGAGGAAGTCTTGATACGTCTGCCTGTGCGAGGACGCGGCCGGAACAAAGTGTCCACCTGGATGGAGAAGGACTTGAGCTCCATCAAACGCTGGCAACAGATCCCGACTCATCTCCTCTGGAATCACACGATCGTCCTGTCCAAACACGTGCAGGGAGGGGATGGTTATCACTGGGCCTTCGTAAAAACGCTGATGTTCTAAACAAGCGCTGCGGAATCCGGCGACCAGAATGGCGAAGCGGAAATTGAAATCCGGCTCTAGTTTTTGTTCTTGCAGTGCACACAGCATGGCCACCAGGGCGGCGCCTTGACTAAAACCCAGGATGCCACTGAAGGGGCCGAGATCCTTCAGCGCAGCTTTTACAGCCTCGATACTCTCCTCCAGACCCAGGCTGCTTTCACAATCCTGCTTGGCGTTAAAACTTCGTGCCTGGACGTCAGAAAACCACCAGCCCCTCTGATCCTCATCTCCAACACTGACTGTTTGAGATTGCTGATTGGCTGATGGTATTTAAAAGAAATTGTGAGAGAAAGAAAGGGGAAAAATACACCTTTAACACACTTTTTTTTTGTTTACATTATGGAAATATCTCAGCAAATAATGAACCTTTTCATTTATAGAATAAAAAAATTCACATGTATATCATTCTCACAAAATGTCAAAAAAGTGTCTCAGAAGGTGGCAGTCTATGGAGACTACATTGTTCATATGTGCATACTAAAACTCAACATTTACCATGTATTGCCACTTAGTCGCTGACATTATTTTAGCAGGTACAACTTGAAAACTGTAATGGCAAATGGCTGCTTCTCACTCAGGGCTGTTTATGCTAATGAGGGAGAGATCATCACTATTGGATGGGACTTTTCCACTCTGATGACATATACAAAGGGAGAATGTCATTCAAAGTGTTTTTGAAGACTGTTTTGAACAATGTGATTATAAAAAAAATAGAATTAATTAACTGTTACTAGAGGCTGGCTATATTCACACACTTCTGCCACACAACTGTGTTTAACCCTCTTATTAAAGTTATTTTAAAATAGGTGCCCTTTAAGATTCTAATAAATTATTTAGTTTTTGAAAATGCGTTTTTACAACAGATTTTTTAAAACATGGATAAAAACTGTAATTTCGTGAAATATTAATACACCTAAAAAAAAAAAAAATAAAAAAAAAGAGATTGATGCATTTTATTTCTTTGAGGCTTAAAAGTCCCATGAACTGCTTTGAAATATGCATTTTATTCAATGTTTGGTATAATCTGAAACCAAAACATGAAAGAGTGGGACAGAGTAGCTCCTCCCCTTTAAAAAAAACAGCCAATAGGATTTTGTTTGATCACCGCTCTGCCAGTGAGAGTGGTTCAGCTCAAGAACATCAATGAAAACCAAATGTGAGGCGTCTTGAAGGGCAGAGCATGTCAGATACTAGAGCATATAAATGGTTATGATTTGATGAGAAACTAAAGTCTAAGGTGAGTAAAACCATTCATCCATATGGCCTGAAAAGACAAACTACAGGCTTTACACGTTTATATCGGTTTTATATCTTCTAAACTTAAATTTTGTCACTTTTTTGGAGCACACTGGCAAAGGAGTGTGGCCAAATGTGCTGTAATGTTATGACAGAGACGCTTCCTGGTGATGTGGAGTCAATCTGCGAATCACGGCCCATTATGTTAGCTGACCAATCAGAGCCAATTGAGGGCAGGCCTTTCGGAGGAACTAGGAAATGTGACAGTCTTTTCATGTTAGCTGAGTAGCTGTATGTAATCAAATTAAAATATAGGAAAAAATCTAATCTTGGAATTTGTTTATTTTATTACATGATTTACTCGCCTACAAATCTAAAATTAATTAAGTATTTCCAAATAGAGCTACACAAATCATCAGGTGAAATTGTATATATTGTGTGTGTACTGCAATTTATATTACAGAAATACAAAATATTGCAATGAAATATTTTTCAACAACAACATCAAAACAACAACAACAAAACCTCAAAACAAAAAGACATGCAAATTTGTAAATGTTTCAAGGACATTTTCAATACAATTATAATTTATTTACGTGAATGCAAATCTGATGTGGACCAGTGGTTCTCAATTTTTTTTTTCACCAAGTACCACCTCAGAAAAAAAATGTCTCTCCAAGTACCACCATAATGACCAGTATTGAAATACAGTAGCGTAGTAGACCAAATTAAGCAAAAAATAAAAAATTCCAGTTCAAAAACGTGGCAGATCAATTCTTCTTATTATAAATATTTATTATTGTCAGCAACTTTAAACATTATAAACAGTTTGAACATTAGCACTGTACTGTGTTAAAAGTTAATTATAAATGACACTGTTCATAAAGAGTAAAAAGAAAACTGCTGTACTTACATGTAAAGTATTATCATAAAGTAGCCTATTCATCAAAACATGGAAATGTTCATATTCACATAAACTCTTTTTGATACATTTTGAAATATATGATGCATGTATATATGACTTATTTGTATATCTAAACATTAACTTGTGTTTTAGATATATGAATTGGATTTACATATTTAAATTTAGAAATTAGATCTGCTCACTGCATGTTAGAGTAGGCTATTTGTGTCAGAAAAGCAAGTGACTAAGCTATAACTGTCAACAATGGGATGTAAAAATATAACATGCGCCCAACAACCGTTACAAATATGGGGAAGAAATTAGCTTCAAATGATAGAATACACAACAAACATAAATTTTTTTTAAATAAAACAAATGATTTAGCTTATTAAAATCAATTTACTGATCACATCAGTGTTATATGCATAGAAGGGTTAAAAGTATGTCCTTTTTTTTACTTTAATTATTCAGCAAATTCTTAACGTCCAACAAGAAGGAAGCTTGCGTACCACTAGATAGAGAGCCACTGATGTGGACAATTATTATTCAAAGTTCAAGGATTTTCATTTTATTTTTTTTATCATAGTTTCTACCTACCTATGGTTCCAATTACTTGCACAAAAACGGCTTTTGTGGATGTGACATTTGCAGTAAAAACTCAACACATAAATTCGCATAGAAAGTATGTTAATGTTATATTGAAACTTTTGTTTATATTTTACAGAACAACTTACCAAAGAGACCAGAAAAAAAAAAAAAAACACGTTTTGTACTTTAAATGAGGAAAATAAACATGCATTATGGATGTGACAAAAACATCTGCAGGGTTAACAGTATACAACATTGTAGAAATTGTGAATTAAACTAAAATAAAATGTATTTTATTTTATATTTTCACATTTATGAGGTAAAAATGGGCTTACGGATGTGAAATCTCTCTGTTCTGGATATGGCAGATGTGAAATTGCCACTTGTGTGACTTTGGTAAATCAAATAGAATCAAATAGAATCATTTGAAAACATTGACAGATGCATTTTTGAGTATTTCTGAAGTACTATAAAATACTTGCTTACACAAAAAACCCAGAAACAGTTTCCGTATTTTGGAAAAACTTAAATCTTTTCATGGCAAGGTTGACAATTGCACAGAACTGCTCATGTATTAGAAATTATGAACCAATATTCCCTAAAAATGCAGCAAAAGCATAAAAACTCATATTGTTTTCCTATAAATTGAATTAACTCAGCAGGACATTAAAGTAGCAATAATAATACTTAGTTATTATTACTTTATTATTACGTTAATACTTAGTAAGTATTATTAATTATTGATATGATTGACATTTGCTATTACATGTACATTACATTTTACCATAAATTCAAATAGTTTTTCTGTATTCTCTGTCAAATTTAATATGTTTAACTCTCATTCAACAGTGATAATAAGAAACATAAAAAGCATAAAAATGCAATTACAGTTTGACCACCAGTAAAGATGTATACAATTATTAGTTTGACGAGTTTGGTTGCACATATAGCAAAGATGACCAGATTCATACTCACTTCCACAGTTTTCCTCCTGAATGGCAGGAACTTGGTGTGGCGCACTAATAAACACCAACTCCACTTGTTTCTTTAATAGTTTGCGTAAAGCTCCAGTCTTCTCCCTAAAAGAGTTTCCATTCTGTCGATAACCGTGAATACAGAGAATTCGAAGAGGAACTGCAGACATTTTAAATTATTAATAACCTGTCAATGCTGTTGTGATTTTATAGCGGTGCTGCAAACGCAAAACACGAGCGTACTAAATCATAAGCAAGTGCGACATACAGTGAAAAGCTGACCTAAAACTTCAGATATATATATATTGTGATATAGAGTTTTAAATATCAATTTAAACTCTACAGAGAAACTATAAACTTGACGTTTCCTTTTTGTGCGACAGATTTATGACCGTGTGGAAACATAAGAGATTAAGAGTTCCCCCAATGCGAATATTGTCTGCAATTTGTTTATAAAGCTTCCTAATTACAAACAAACACTAAAGCTAAATGCGTTTTATATGTTAATCAAAAAATTGTGCTTTCCATAAAATACTCGTTAGTTTCCAACAATTAGAAACAGAAATATAGTTCCGATTTCAAACGCCAGGGGGCAACCGTTCCCCACAGAAAGCTGTGTTGTATAAAATGGCACGTATATGTAAGCCTCTCACATATGCCAAAACAAATAACTAAAAAAATGTAAGTAAGTTTTCCCTCAATTAATACATTATGTAAATACGTTGCACTGAGACTATAACAAAGAGTAATTATAGCCCACCATAATGACAAAATATGGTAAGATTGTTAAAATCAAGTGTCTTAAAATGTATGTGCAAAGGGGGACGTCTCACTGTGACACCAAGTAATGAAATTTAAACATATATATCCATAAATGAATATGTCCTGGATCATTTTAATGCAATTAAAACAACGAAAGATATAATACATGATGTCTATGCTATTTTTCAGTTAGGCATAACATTCTTGGGATTCTGCCTCTCCTGTATTTCCAAATGTTTGTTTAAGAAAACAGAGAAAATGCCTCCAGCTTCTAAAGAATGTAAATAACTCCACAAAAAAGGGAGTTTAACATAAATCTGTATGCATTCAATACTTCATGCTATCCTAGAGGGGAAAGTTCTTAATTTGGTTAGATGATTATTTCTCTCTGTTGATCTCGGCGAGTTTTCTGGATGATTGTGCCTCCTGAGCACTTGACAATTAATCTAAAAATGAGCAGCAACCCTGGAGGCCTGATGCCTCTACTTATACTCTTACACAACACCGAGTTCATCTGTTATAACAAACACTGATCTGAGTCCAGTTCTGCAAGTTCTGCTGAGACAAACAGACTGACAGAATGAAAGAACTACAGGATAGAAAGATAGATAGTTGGATGGATGGATGGATGGATGGATGGATGGATGGATGGATGGATAGATGAACAGGTAGGTAGGTAGGTGGATGGATGGATGGATGGATGGATTGATTCATTGACGGATAGATACATTAACAGATTGATTCATTGACAGACAGACATACAGGTGGATGGATGTATAGATAGACAGATGGATAGATGTATAGATAGATAAATAGACGGATGAATGGATAGATGGATAGGAAGGTAGGTGGATGGATGGATGGATGGACGGATAGATTGATTCATTGACAGATTGATACATTAACAGATTGATTCATTGACAGACAGACATGTAGATGGGTGGATGTATAGATGGATAAATAGATGGATGGATGGATAGATAGATGGATAGATAGATAAACAGGTAGATAGGTAGGTAGGTGGATGAATGGATGGATGGATGGATGGATTCATTGACAGATTGATACATTAACAGATTGATTCATTGAAAGACAGACGTATAGATTGATGGATGTATAGATAGAAAAATGGATGGATGGATGGATGGATGGATAGGTAGGTATATAGGTGGATAGATGGAAAGGTGGATGGATGGGGGGTGTAGAGATGGATAAATAGATGTATGGATAGATAGAAAGATCGATTCCTTGATTGATATATTGATGGATGGCTTCATTGACAGACAGACCTATAGGTGGATGGATGTATAGATGAATAAATGGATAGATGTATAGATGGATGGATAAATCAAAGGATGTATTCATGTATAAATGGATGGATGGATGGATGGATGGATGGATGGATGGATGGATGGATGGATGGATGGATAGATAGATAGATAGATAGATAGATAGATAGATAGATAGATAGATTGATAAATGGAGGGACAGATATATGTATATAATATATTCAGTACTAATGCCAAGCTCATAAACATAATCTTCCCCATAACTGTTTATGACTTGTTTGTGTGTTAGCAAGTTCATCTCATCCTTGAAATGAAAGAATATTTCTGCCATGTGAAGTGGAAAGCGAGGCAGTGGAAACAGCACTAAGCAGATGCTTCAAGCTGTAATTAAGCAAGGTTTGTGGCGATCCACCAAGTTAACTTAAATGAATATCTGCGACAGAAAAAGAGGTTTAATTAATGAGAGTCCTTCTGTCTAATTTAATGACTTTTCTGTGCATATTGAGTATATGTCAGAGCCAAATGCCCTACAGACACCCAATAGCTCATTCCCTGCTTTAACACGTTTACTTAAACACATCCGAATGGATTTCCTCATTTTATTGAGCATTAAACGCTTCGGTGTGTGTGTGTACCTTCAAGGGTCTCCCCGCATCAGCCACCCGTTCATTACCTCTGGTCCTCCCCTGTTCTCTTTATTATTCACCGTGATCAACCCGAGAGATGAGACACAAATGAGACCAAATAAATAAAACAGGCCCTAAGGCCAAGCTTCCTTTCAGCAATATTTAAGTGATTTATTCTGAGTTGTGGCTTATTAGACAGACAGACAGACTGATAGTTATATATAAAGATAGATGGATAGAGTGCATCTGGAAAGTATTCACAGCGCTTTACTTTTTTCTCATATATTTATGTTACAGCCTTTTTTCCAAAATGGAATAAATTGAAATATTACTTCAAAATTCTACTCACAATACCCCATAATATCAATGTGAAAAAAGATTTTTTGAAATTGTGGCAAATTTATTAAAAATAAAAAACCTGAAAAATCACATGGACATCAGAATTCTCAGCCTTTGCTCAATGCTTTGTTGATGCACCTTTGGCAGCAATTACAGCCTCGATTCTTTTTAAATATGATGCCACAAGCTTGGCACACCTGTCTTTGGGATTTTTTTTGCCCATTCCTCTTTGTAGTACCTTTCAAGCAGAGAGGCTGAATGGGAAGCGATGGTGTACAGCCATTTTTAGATCTCTCCAGAGATGTTCAATAGGATTTAGTTCTGGGCTCTGGCTGGGCCACTCAAGGACATTCACCGAGTTGTTGTGAAGCCACTCCATTGATATTTTGGCAGTGTGCTTTGGGCTATTGTCCTGTTGGAAGATGAACTGTTGCCCCAGTCTGAGGTCAAGAGCACTCTGAAGCAGGTTTTCATTTAGGATGTCTCTGTACATTGCTGCATTCATCTTTCCCTCTATCCTTACTAGTCTTCCAGTTTCTTCTGTTGTAAAACATCCTTACAGCATGGTGTTGCCTCCACTGTGCTTCACTGTAGGGATGGTATTAGCCTGGTGATGAGCGCTGCCTGGTTTTCTCCAAATGTAACACCTGGCATTCACTCCCAAAGAGTTCAATTTTAGTCTCATCAGATCAGAGAATTTTGTTTCTTATGGTCTGAGAGTTCTTCAGATGCTTTTTGGCAAATTCCAGGCGGGGAGGCTGGCTTTCGTCTGGCCACTCTACAACACAGGCCTGATTGGTGGATTGCTGGACAGACGGTTGACATGTTGACAGCAGACATTTTTCTGTAACCTTCCCCAACCTGGCTCAAGACAATCCTGTCTCAGAGGTCTACAGACAGTTCCTTTGTCTTCATGCTTGGTTTGTGCTTTGACATGCACTGTCAACCCTGGGACCTTATATAAAAAGGTGTATGCCTTTTCACATCATGTTCAATCAACAGAATTTACCACAGGTGAACTTCAATTAAGCTGCTGCAACATCTCAAGAATGTTCAGTGGAAACAGAATGTACCTGAGCTCAATTTAGAGCTTCACGGCAGAGGCTGTGAATACTTATAAACATGTAATTTTCCCAAGTTTTATTTTTAATAAATTTGTAACAATTAAAAAAAAACACAATTCACATTGTCATTATAGGCTATTGTGAGTACAATTTTGAGGAAATAAATGAATTTAATCCATTTTGGAAAAATGTGGAAAAATAAAAGCGCTATGAATACTTTCCGGATGCACTGTAGATAGATAGACAGACAGACCGACAGAGAGAAATAGATAGACAGACAGACAATAAATCCACTGAATCACATACAAGACAAGGGCGAGAGCACATTCCAGCCCACAAACAAGCACACACACGGTCATTTAAGAAGTGGACCAGTGGATCAGAATGACATGTATTGCATCAGTATTGGGATGAGTAACCATGTCATCGGCACACAGAAAATCTGGTAAACAAACTGCAACAAGCGCTTTACAGAGATAGTGTGAAAAAGAAAAAAAAAACAACAACAGTGGTTTAACACCAGGGAAAAGAGGAGCTTCGTTTTTACAAACTGTTACTTATGTAGGCTACTTCAGCATAAAAATATTTGAAAAAACAAACTATAGTATCGATCAGACCCATGACCTGTGACGAGAGGATACCAACCCTATAAAGTCTTCAAAGTCACCACAAAATCTTAAGAAATACACTAATAACGTCTTTAAAAATGTGTATAAACATCATCTTATTAGAAATGACACTACGTACCATGTAACTGCAGATTAACTATGTTTATATTTTGTCTATTCTATACACAACATCTTTACTTCTCTGATTTCGACTGTAATATAATAACCTGCACCTTTTGTAAAGCTGCCTTGGAACAATAATTATTGTGAAAAGTGCTATACAAATAAATTTGAATTGAATTGAGTTAAATAAATATTATATAATCATGAAAACCATAGCTGTTATAATATTGGCTACTACTGTAATGAATTTGGTGTGGTAATACTATAGATGCTATGGTAATTTAACAACTACAGTAATATAAACAAATAACCCAATGCTGAATCACTGTCTGCAACTATATCATACTACAATACACCACAGTTTAAGTATACTACATTATTACACTTTACAGGTCCACTGTTGTTACAGTAAGCAGTAACATTCATTACCAAAAATTTGTGAATACTATAGAGCTACAGTATAATAATACATGTAACATAATATGGTTTAAAAACAGTATAAGGCCTATCATAAATTACTATAGCATTTTTTAACGTGGGTAGGTTATACTGTATCTTGTCATATGCAAC